TCGTAAGGAACATTGCTACAGGCCATAGGTTTCACTGTATTCCGATATGATTAAATTAATTGCTAGCAATGGATTGTTTGAACAAGTTGAACTTCTTTACTTGTAGTTGAAAAAGGAAACTAATTTACAGCCTGAAATTGAGGCATTTAATGCTCTAATGACTACATTGATAAGTTTTAACCTCCCTAAACTTGCGTCCGAGTGTCATTGCTTGATGAAAGAGGCAGGGTCTGAACTCGATAGTCATCCTTTAGAGTACTCATTAATGGTCTAGAGTCGATGGGAGAGACAGGTAGTTCGGGTATTGTAAGGCAGGATGCTCAAAAGATTTATGGGGACTCTCTGGGGTTTGTAAAGGGGAATAAAGAAGTGACAGTGAACCATCAGTGACTGTTGGATAGATCATATGATATCTTCGGTCAGGAAATATGTAAGAAACTCTAGTTGCGTTTCATGTGATTACCGTTGAGATCAAGTTAGTTCTTTGTAGGACTCTCTGTTTGGAGAAGCAAGCAATTACCTGCCTGTTTTCAGTCATTTTTCACTCTTGAGTTTCAGTAGTACAGAATAACATATACCTTGGAACATAAGCATTCCAAAACTCTTTTTTTTCTCCCTACTTTTCAGTTTTATGATCGGTATAATGGATTGCATTAGCACTTCTTAGTAAATAGTTTGCATACTGAAATGGTGCTATTGCATTAGTTGCCAATGTCGGGGTGTTCACGTATTAAAGTAAGTACTTTCCAGAGCAAGAACATAAGACTTATGCTGCACGGTTGGTTAGCTGGACGGATTTAATAACAGTAGAACAGCAAGTGCTAGACAAACTAAAAATAAGGGTGCAACAGCAGACGCTCGAACTGAAATTTAGATAACTGGAAGATAATTCAAGTGTATCGAAATTTGAAGACCATGGCTAATGCAAACCAAAGTGCCTGCTATTACTAATGTCTGTAAGTGTTTGCATTGTGTAAGTCACTCAAGCTTCAGTATATAAGAACGACTTGATTTTCTCTGAATTCCTCTGTTCTCTCTAATATTTCTCAACCCATCTCATATTTTCTTTCGTTTTACTTTTACTGCTTATTTTCCTTCTCTTTCTAATACTCTGCATTTTCAAATGTTAATTGGTAACCCAATCTCTGAAAACAACTAAAAGATAAAGCAAATATAACCATTAAAGTCGGATTATACCGAAGAATCGAGGGGCATAACTTTACTTTTAAATAATTACATGTTCCATCAAGTACTACACTTTCTACGCATCATATCCTTAAAAGACAAAACTGGGACCTCGTATTCCCAATTTTTCAATTTTCTCCTACAATTTTCCCTTCTTCTTTTTTACCACAAACCTAAACTTTATATAGGACAGCAGAAAAACTGAAGTGACAAAGGGACACATGACCATGAGTTGATCTATGTTCTGTTTCAGAACTGTTTCCCTTCAAATGTCTGGCCAAACTGCCAGTTTGCTGGAGCAACATTGTAAGATGTTAGTGTTCTTCCACTACTTACAGTTACCTCGAACGAAAGAGGCTGCCCTTTAAGATTGACATTGCTCTGCCAGTTCTGTCCCCAGTTCCTGGCCATCGGTATCCACCCGGTCCTTGAACCCTTCACTTTCACAGCAAGAACCTCCCCATCTGAACCTACATTGGTGATTAGGACTTGGTAGAAGTGAGAACTCCCACCCACCATGAACCTTATCCCTCCAATTCTCTCACACTTCACCCTGCACACAAAAAGTCACAGAGCTTCTTGCTTAGTGCAAGATATCACAATCAAAATCCAAGGAAAAAAAAGCACTATATCAGCACTCCAAAAAAGACATCTTGCACTGATCAAAGTACAATTTTCACTTATAATTTATAAGTGCAGTTGGATCATGGATGCCCTTTTTGGAGTAAGAATAGCAATTCCTTGAAAAATTCTAACTTTCTCCGTTACCTCCTATATTGAACTGGCACAATATCGGCTTTTTTCTTTGCAATTTCACCAAATGCTGCCTCAGACATCTCAAAGTGTTCATTGGGGAAATTGCACCAGCCACCATAATCTTTTGAGAGCCCGAAATTCGGAGGGCAGAAATCTGTAGCAGTGAGAATAACAGAGGGGCTCCCTTGCAGGCACCACAAGATGTGGTCAACACATCTCAGTTCATAACAAGCGCCACAGGTTCTCCCTTTGTTGAACAAAATGCCACTCACCCCAGCACTGTGCTTCCCATAGCTGATCCTGTGAAGGTCACCATAACCACACGCACCTTCTGCAACAAATAAATAAAAAAGACATTGAAAAACTCAAAATATGGAGAGAAACAAAAACTTACCTAAAACTGGGATGCCAGTGTGGCGATTTCACAAGTCAATCAAGCACTGCGGAAAGTTAGTTTACACGAAATTTATGTTATTGGCTAGGGATAATGTACTGGCATCCCGGTTGCAGGGACGTTCTTCTCAGAAACATGTAGTATCATTCAGTCAAAAACGTGTAAAGTTCGCAACTTTTTTGCACCAGATGCATAGTTCCGTTGCCGAGCGGCCACCTCGGCAAGTTTGAAAGTACTTAGATTAATTTACATTTCAATAACGCACAATAAAAACAGTTTTCAGGCATGCTCAAGCAATTTCACGAAACAGTTTCAGGTGTCTTATGCAGTCTAAAACTCGAAAAGTTTACAACCCCTTTGCTCCAGAAGCAAGAAGAGTACCAGTAATGATGCAAAAGACCTTGAAGAACTGCAAATATGAGTAAAACTTTCCTGTAACTCAATAATTAGGATGCCATTATAGCGGTATCTCAAGCCAATCAAGCAAGGTCATGTATTTGAACTTTCGGGACAACAGTGCTTGATTGACTTAGAATACCGTCACATCGACATCATTCTTCTAGTAAACATGGAGCAAAATTAATCAGTAAAACATAGAAAAGATTGAAACTTTTTTGCAGCAGAAGCAAGGAAAGTACCAGTAATGATGGACCCATCACTTTCGTTGGAATATGTTGCAGTGGCAGTCTTCCATTCTTCTTCATTCTGAGCAGCAGCAATGCTGCCGCACAGTAAAACCCAGAAGAGAAATGCAGCATCTTGAAGTTGAAAGGCTCCTCCCATTTGAGAAAACGAGACCTAATAATCTACCAGATGCCAGTGGCTTGTACTTGAACTCAAATGGGTTGCTTTTACTTTTTTTCCCCTTTTGATGCAACTGGGTCGAAGAGGGACGAAGAAAGAAGAAGAAAGCTTTCCTTTTTCTGGGGCGAAATGACCAGAATCTCCCTGCTGAGATAAAGGACAAGGAGCAGCCTACAATGGCGTCCACAGTTCACATTGGGGGCACATTCTGCGAGGGAGAAAGATGGAGGGGTATGATGGTCAATGAGTCAATAGGGTTTTGGACCCTATGCCATGGAAAAGATGGAAGGTTTAGTTTACTTTCTTGTGCTTTTTAAGCGGGGAATTGAGACTCGAAAGGAAGCTTTGGCGCCAGCATTTGGCTGCTCACTGTTGGTGGCAGACACAGATACGGAAAGCATTGAAACAAGTATTTATAAAAATGAAAAACACATTCCAAAGATTCTTTTAATTTGTTTTTCAAAATCAGATGAAGGGTTAGGATTTCTGAATTTATCCTTTATGGGATTTAATGATTCAAAAGAGAGAATTCATCCTATAACGGTCATTTGATTTGGTAATAGTAATAAAGATAACGAATCCAACAATTGACCCATTTTTTAAAATTATGTTTAATGGAGAACAATTTATATGAAATGTGTTTACATCGACGTTGTGTTCTAAAATAATATGTATAGAGATTTATGCTTGACACTATATTATTAGATATGTATATACAGACTTATACACGACATTGTATTAGAGGGGGGCGCAGGTTGAGTCGGGTTCATTTTTTGTGAATTCAGACTCGACTTGTTTATTTTGTAAACAAGTTTGAGCTGGTCCGGATTTATGTATTTTAATAGTGAAACCGGCTCATTTGGATTTGTTTAATACGATTGGATTCGTAAGGGTCAAACGTTTTCGTTGTCAATCATATGTCTTGTAACAAAACAACAATTAAAACAATCTATGTGTTTCCAATACAAGGGAATTACATTTAACAAAGCCAATACCAACAAATATTTTAAAAGAAGAAGTTTGATTCTTGTTTTACTTCTTAGGGTTAGATAGATATAGGAGTTATGGATCATTGGCTTCACAACTGTAGACCATTAATAAAATAGCAAGTGCTAAGACAACTCTTAAGTGGTCCGGGCCAAGTTACCTGCACATGTGAAACATGGACTCGATTTTGGACTCGTTTTTACACAAGTTGGCATAACATTGTGAGAGTTAGATTGATTTTTGTGCGAATATACTTTTTGCAAATCATGCAATTGTATATTATTTTAAACAAAAAAATATACATATATCATTATATTACTAACACAAACGATCACGGTAACAGTGCACTCATACCATAAAAATTGTTCTCCTTGACATGGCTTGAATTAGTCACTAACTTGCTATTTCACCAAGCCGCCATGTGAAACCCACAAGACGATTGCCCTCTTTATCATGTTGCAGGCCTCGTTCCGTAAGCCCGTTGCATTAAAGCCCACTTATATATTCTCTAGGCTCCAATGGAGCTCAAACATTGAAAATGTGATTCTACGGACACCCGGGAACTGCCCAGACACACAAGCATTGCTTATGACGAACAGAGAATTGTCTTTGAGTTGGTATCCAACGACCAACTCAGATACAATTCTTCGATCGCGAGACCCTCTTCCTCCCCATCTGGAGGAGAAATTTTGTATACATCGCTGCCGGATACGGCAGCTCCTCATTGTGAGTGAGACCCATGGATGTTGGCCTCACCCATTGAGAAGCTGCCACACGCGACAGTCCTAATAATCACTTCTTTGGACATAAACCTTTTAAAACCAAAGAAAAAACGTGCCGAAAATTGGGTGCACACAAAAAAGGAGCGACTGGGGAGCAAAACTTTTGGGTTTATAAAATGAATATCACTGTGAGGTTTTCTGTGTTTCCGTTTTTCTCAAGTTACAACCTTGATGTTGAAGTATGAGGCTCACACTATGATATCTTTCAACGGAACAATGCAGCTGACAGGGGTGTTGTTGCCTTTCTCCCGAATGACAATAGAATTGTCGCTGCTACCATTACTGGCAGTGCTGTTGCTGATGTTCTTATTAGTAGAGTGATACAGATTGAATGTTGCCTGATCTAGTGTTCCTTCTCTGTAAACAAACACACTGTCGTCTTCTTCCATTTTGCGCCACTTCCGGTTTCTGTCGCTAATTCGATGGAGATCATGGAGCGGCATGCCTCTGCAATGTACAAGACAAGTAGAATCAAAACCTCACTAAGTTTATACTTTTCAGACAAATATATTATCTTGCATTTTATGACAATGAAATCGGCAAAAATGCAGTAATATAAGGCTGATAAATACATCAATTATAGACTTCGTGAGGATTTATTAAGTCCATAATCTGCAGTTTATTTCAGATATTATAATTAAATTGTTGAATAAGCAACAGTTTTGTAAACATATAAATCACATTATTTCTTAACTTATTTGTTATTTTTTATTAAGTTACATATATTATATGGAAGGAACTCATAACGCAAGTAATTAAGAACGTTTAAACCTAGTCCCGAGTTCCTATGTTTAATTCTCCCTTCCACAATATCATTTGTATCCAAAAATGAGACACGTGCACATGACTACTTGATTACTATCGATATGATTATTAATCAAATAGGCCGCAATTTTCACACCCCTGTTTATTCACAACATTTCAAATCGAACATTTTATCATTTTTATTGGCAACCAAAGTAAACCATTTTGTACCATCTCAACCGAGCATACATTGCATCACGTCCTTAGTAGGATTGAAACAAATGAAATTCACATACGTATCAAAGGAGGGATACAACACATGGTCATTCTAAAAAAAGCATTACTCTATAAGATCAAACAAGTAGCGAAACACAATCCGAGTAACCTAGTTCAGCTGCATGCCATTACCAATAATCGGGTCAATTGTTTGATTAATCAATCTTATCATACTATTATAACTTCAATAAAATCACGTATAAGTTTCTAGTTATTTAACTATATATTTTTATCAAGTGATGCTCGGGGTTGGCCCTGAGAACTTGGGGCCCTAAGAAGCCTTCGAAATGAGGTCCTAATATTATCTCCGACTTTTTGTACATTGATATGTATATAAAAAATAAAAAAAATAAAAAAAAATTGGCCAGATACATGAAAAAGTTTATTTCTACATCAAATATCATTAAAAATTAATATTAAAAGAAGAAAAATGTATAAACATTACTTAAATACTACACGCCTTACATTTTAAGACGCAAATGTACTAACTGAATTTACATAATCCTGTTTTTCAACCAATTCATTTTCAATTGCCAATGATTTTATTTTCTGATATTTAAAAAAAAAAATTAGGGACCCTCCGATGGTGAGAGCCTTAGGCGGGAACCTGCTTCGGCTACCCTTAGGGCCGACTTGGTGCTACTAAAACACAATCACAAATGAGTGTCTAGTTATATTCCAATTTCAATTATTAAACGTGTGTCTATTTGTGATTTGTTTTTCAGCAGCAGCTACTAAAACACAATCACAAATTAATTGTTTATTTTTTTTTCAACAAATTTTTGGAGGACTTGGTCAAAAATTGCCCCCACATGTTTTTCGCCGCACAAAATTACAAAGAAGCCCAAATCCTATCTATCAACGTCACACATCCACAAACACTCACAAACAAACAAAAAAACACTCATGCAGTGCACAAACCCAGCAAAAATAAAATCAGCGAAAAACAAGGAAAAAAATAAAATACAATTAATTTAATTAAATAGTTAAAATAGAAAATTGGGAAGAGTAAACAAAAGAAACGGTACTTCACTCACCTTACATGGAAGAGATCGGAGATGTCGCTCATCCTGAGGTAAAAGTTAACGGCGTCAATAAAAGCCCGGTACGTATAGATATGAAGCCCGTCGATTCTCGGGTACGGCAGCCTCGGTCTCGGTAGCGGCGCCTCCGCGGGGGGAGCCCACTTGCTCCGCCAACCTCCGGCTGAGGAGAACACGTACTCCTTCGTCGCCGCGGCCGACGACGACGGCGGAAGCCCCACGAAGCCGAGGGTCGCCATGATCGGCTCCAGCTCGTCGTGGGTCATGATGGGCTTGAAGGTGCGGGTGTACCAGAGCGCCAGCTTCCGCGTGCAGCCGCGCATGTAGTCCTCCATTTTTGGAAAAATCTGGGGAGGAAGGGAGGAGAGCTTGAAACGTAGGGATTGGGGAATTTGGGAAATGGGAGGAGTTTTGGAGGGGTTCGTGGTGTGTGGGTGGGTGGTGTGGTGTGGTGGGAGAGTATTTGAAAGAGGGGTAGTGACTTGCCACTCAAGTTGCAGGAAATTACGGAACAACGACTGAAGAAGCAAGAGTGTCTTGAGGGTGTATCTGGGATTTTGAAGCGGTGCGGTCTGTTTTTTTAATTTTTTTTTTAATGTTTTTGGTGCTCAGAAAAAGGTAGCTAAAGATTGGATTTTTTGTTGTGAGATACGGGATGTGATTTGTGAATGAATACGACAATTGATGGGGTTTGTTTTTTTTGGTCAAAATAATTGATGGGGGTTGAAGTCTATGACTTTTTTTGTAACTTTTTGGAGATTTTGTGCCATAATGGATGGATGTCTATTTATGGTAAACGAATAGAAAGGTCCTTGATTTAGGAAATTGTTTGGTGGATATTGTCACACAGTTAGATTGTGTTATTAACGTATTTTGTTGAGTGTATTTACGTTTAATTAAATTGGCTAAATAAAAATTAGAACAGCCCACTTGTCTCTCTGCATCTTAATTAGAATGTTCCCACTTGTTGTTTAGATTAAATTTAGAAAGATAGACAGGGTGATTGTTATTTCATGAGATCTAAGACTTTTTTCTTAAGGTAATAAGAATTTATTAAAAAACATCAAGAACGTACATAAGACATCAAACGTAACCAAGAGATGACAAACGTAAAAAAAACACCACACAGATGCACAAGTACAAGCTCATCATGAATATAATACATTTCTCTAACTACCACAGAGATCCACATCTAACCAACAAGAAATATAGTAACATTACGAGCGGTAGAACCGACGTAACGGTATCACAAAGAAAAGATTGCATCACCTCCGATGATCTTGCAATCATGGGTAGATCCATTCAAGGACCCCGATGGTTTCGGGACCACCCGGAAGTCCAAATAAGCGTATGTGAGGACCTCCGAGCACCACTCAATGGTCTGGGTAGGTAGTGGAAGAGAGAAAACCACCATGGTTGCAAATGTTCAATAGAAGCTTTAACCCAAGAAGAAAAATCTAATTTCAGACGAAAAGAAGCATAGAGAATACCACACTGGCTCTATGTTTTTAGACATTGGTTCCAACAAAGAAGAAATATTTTCTCTCCATTTCTCACGTGACCAACTCTCTATTTTTTTTTTAATAATTGTTGTCCAATCAAATTGTGCCACATAACATTTTAATTAAGGGGCGTTTTGATATAGGTGCCTTGTTTTTGAATTTTTTAGACTAAACATACACTCCTTTAACAAATTTGATCAAACATTTTCCTAAAATTTTGGTTATTAATTTCAATTTTTTACATAAGTTCAATTTTGTTTAGAATTTTAGTTTTTCATGACTTCTCCTGGACATTTCGTTTTCTTTTTTTTTTCTTTACCTATTATCCCTATATCTATGCATTTATTATCCATCTCTATGCATTTTTTTACTTGTTTGTTATAATTTTTTTTAATATAGTAGAATATTTATAAAAAAAAAATTGTCAGATTTCATTATTTGAAAAGACCCAACACATAATAAAGATTTGTTTGATTATATAGCTACGTATAGTTACCTATAATATGGACACATTTAGTTTTATAGTGGATTTGATTTTTTGTATTTCTCGGTACATTTGGAATGTAAATGTACCAAAAGGGTTATCTGATAGAGACATTTGGTTTTGTGGTACGTTTGAGATTTTTTGTACATTTAGTTTTTTGGTACATTTAGAATCTAAACGTACCATAAGGGTTACCTGACAATAGACATATTTGGTTTTATGGTACATTTAGTTTCTCAGTACATTTGAAATCTAAACGTACCAAATGAGTTACATATCAATGGGTACATTTGGTTTTATGGTACATTTAAATTTTTGGTAAATTTGGTTTCTCGGTACATTTGAAATTTAAACGTACCAAAAGTCGATATTTTTGTTCTCAAATGTACCATAAGTTTTAAGTATAATTTTTATATATCTATACGTGAAATTTAATAAGTTAATGTTGTTCTCAAATGTACCATAAGTTTTAAGTATAATTTTTATATATCTATACATGCAATTTAATAAGTTAATGTAGTTTTCTTAGGAAAAAAATATGTATTGGACTTTTTATTGAGACGTTTTTAATAGAAAGAGAACTTTTTTTAATACTGATAATGAGGAAATGAGGAATTAGTTATTTTTTTATTATTAAAAATGTCATTTAATGTGTAGAAGGGGATTGGCGAAATTAAATTCGTATATTATAGGCAATTAGTTGCTAAGCTACCTTATGCCTCTATATGCATTTAAATTAATGATGTTGATGCACAAAATCAGTGAGGACTTTGGTACAACAGAAAGTGTCAAGTTTGTGACCTTCGCTAGATTGATCCGGTCACTAGTGTGGATAAGTATGTAAATGGATAGAGACAGGAAAGCAAACACAAGATGTACGTGGTTCACCCAGATTGGCTACGTCCACGGAGTAGAGAAGTTCTCATTAATTGTGAAAGGTTTACACAAGTACATAGGTTCAAGTTCTCCTTTAGTGAGTACTAGTGAATTATTTAGTACAAATGACATTAGGAAATATTGTGAGAGAATGATCTCCTATTTATAGAAGAGAGTTTCTAGTTTCATTTTGACATTGACACGTGTCGTGTTGTGATTGGCTTCTGATGTTGACACGTGTCGCGCTATGATTGGCTTCTGATGTCGACACGTGTCGCGCTGTATTGGCCTCCTGTCTGGAGGGAAACTCTTCTGGGTCCTTGACGGTATAACGTTGACCAGTGCTCGGTAGTTTCAAGATTGATCAAGTATGGTACAAACAAATGACATGGAAATTAAATAAATAGAAAGTTATTGAGGTGGCAATTGTTCAAAGCACCTTAATCAAATCTTTAAACAAATCTTTAAAAGGGATGAATATTTAATCTAAAAACTATAGAAACATTGTAGGGCATTCTAATTTTCTCTTTAATTAATAAATGGATGATGTATTGCTCAAGTACAGGGCCCTGGCCTAGGGCAACCAAGGTGACCGCACGGGGCCTCAAAAAGTTGAGGGCACAAAAAAAAAATTCTATTATTATAATGATAAGTCCACCAAGAATTTGGTCCATTGTTTATTAAATTGAGGTATTTTTGTCATTTGGTTCTTATCTAGCATAATTTTTCAATGATTGACCAAAATGATTGATGGTGGACAAACTCAATGACCACTTCTATTTATTTTAAATTTCAGAAATCAAAGTGATGAGTTATGCAAATCTCATAGACCATTTTGGTTGAAAAACCTTCATTTTAACAACGATGTTATGTTTCAATATCATGTCAGGGTTAGTTTTCTTTTCTTAGCCAAGAAAAAATGAGTAACATTTTGCATCCATTTGGTTTTTTCTGAATTTTTAATGTTCATTCATAGTATATAACTTTACATATAAAAATTAGAGATACAAAAATATGACAATTCTTATGAGGGCCCCATATTAGTAAAAGAGCAGTAGATTAGAAAAATATCCCAAAAATTATAAGTTTTATACAAAAATAGTTGTCATACTTTATTGATTTTTGCTTGTGAAATATCTGTATACCCTTATCTAATTCACAAACTAAGTGGAAGATCTTAGGTTTGACTCTCTTAAATGACGAGTTAGATATCAAATTATGGCTATCCCATCTTGTTGCTTAGCAGAATCCCTCACATTCTGATATCATTTTATCAAAGAAAAATTAAATCAGCATGCATAAATATGAACACCATAACAATTGATTTTTTTCTTACATGAAATACTAGGTCTCTTTTTTTGGTGTTGCCCCGGCCCTCAAAATTTCAGGACCGGCCCTGCTCAAGGAATGCTTTTTATACCATATTTTTTACAACGTTATTTTTTAAAATTTACCATAAATTATTTTCATCTCAACCATCAAGTTCACTAAAATACTAAAACAAAAATTATAATATTTTTGTATGTTATTTCTTAAATAATAAACCTAGCTAACTAAAAATTTTAAGTGTAAATAGACACTTATTTATATGTTATACAATAAATTTACTTAAATTCGCTTAGGCCCCTTCCTAGGCTCCGTCTAGGTGCATAGGCGCTAGACTCTAGCTCTACCCAATTAACGGCTAGCACGCCTTGATTAGGATCACCCAATGTTAGAATCCTAGACCTACCAATGCTTGCATTTGTCAACAAAAAAAATACTGCAACGAGTCACCTCCAACAAATGCTAACACCACAATTGAGAACTCCCCACCAACTTGCATATAGATGTGCTTTAATTTATTCCGTCCTCAAGTTTGTTCATCCAAAAATTTATCATGTCGTCTTCACCAGGAATGTAAGATTTACGTGTTTTGATTTGCATGAACTGATAAAGTTTACAAACTAGGGGTTTGAAAATTAAAGAGAACCAATAACTGAAGCTGTTTCGATCTGAAACGGAACGCCGGCGTTGGTATGGAGGAGTGTCACCTTCGAAGAGAAAGAAGAGAGAACAAGAAAATATGTGTTTCAATTTGACCGAGAAGAAAAGGTCTCCAGGGTAGAGATAGTGAGGCGAGAGAACTTTCAATTTAGTAAACATCAAAGGAAAAATATGTAAAGCGACATATTAAAGTGACTTTTATACCCCTATTATGTCCCATGGAGAAAATAAAGATGAAGATGCCAAGTCATGACTATAGTTTGTTATAAGTGGTTATTATTTGGTTAGTTTGTTATTGGGAATATTTGTACATAGCCAAAGGCTATAAATTGTGTGTGTAAAATTAATTTGGTAATTAATGAAAATATTCATTTTACTTCCTCTGTAAGAAAACTACTCTGAGAAACCTTCATCTTCTATATGGTATTAACCGCCTCATGCCTCGCGGCTTCTTCAATTTTGGTCATCTTCTTGCTTCTCAATCTCGGATTTTTTTTTTGGTCAGTTTGCTGCGATTGTGCTCGTCGATCTCTGAAAGTATCTCTCTTATCTCAATTTCCATGGCGTCTCCGACCGATTCGTCTTCTCCAAATGAGTCGGTGCCTCTGTCGACTCCAAATTCCTCAAACC